CACTGAAAATAGGGAACCAGAGATATCATTTATAATGAAGTCAACAACAAAGCAAAAACAGGAAACAGTGTAGATACAGAACCTCTAAATGATGAGGACATCAAGCAGATTGCAAGATAAAATAGACTGCCTTAAATGGAGGAAATTTTGGTAAGTTAAAGGATAACCTCAAAGAAAATGAATATATCTTCACATCAAAATAAAAAAAGAGTAAAATCAGAAAGATTTAGTAAACATTAAAATAACAACAATGAAGAAAAGGAAACTCACAAAGTGAACTCAAGGCAGATATTTATGTGGAACAAAGAAATTAGCAACACCATAAGAAAACACACAGCAAAATGACAACAATCAATTCATACCTATTAATAATCATACTGAATATAAATGGATTATATACACCAGTCAAGAGACAGAGTAGCAGAATGGATAAGAAAACAGGATCCTTCAACATACTGTCTACAAACAACATGCCTTACCCACAAAAAGCAAAAATAGACTAAAAATCAAAAGATAGGAAAGAAATATTATGCTAACGGCAATAAAAATTAGCAGAAGTGGCAATATTAATCTCTAATAAAATAGACTTTAAAGCAAACACCAGTATAAGGGACAAAGAAGGGCATTATATCACAATTAAGGTATCAATTGAACAAGAGGACATAAAACCATAATAAACATCTATGCTCCTAATGAAAGTGCTTCAAAATAGGTAATCAATCTCTAACAGAACTGAGTGTGGTGTACTGGTGTGGGTTAATGCACTGTGGGTTAATGCGCTGGACTGCAAAGTCATTTTGAACTGCAAGGTCAGTGGTTCAAATTTATAGATGCTTCTCAGAAACCATATACAGGGTTGCTATGGGTCAGAATTGACTCGACAGCACTTGACAACAACAGAACTGAAGGACAAAATAGACAATTCTGCCATCATTTTTGTTGTTTAGTGCCATCAAATAAGTTTCGACTTACACAGCCTTGTACAGGGTTTTCAAGGAGTGGCTAGTGGACTTGAACCACCGACTTTGCAGTTCAACCTGACCTTGCAGCCCAATGCTTATCCTACAGCACCATACCAGGACTCCGCCATGATAATTATTGTTGTTAAGAGCCATTGAGTCAGCTCTAACTCATAGAGACCCCGTGTAGGGTTTCCAAGGAATAGCTGGTAGGTTTGAATCACCAACCTTGTGGCTCAAACTGACCTTACAGTCCAGTGCATTATCCTGCAACACCACACCATAATATTGCTGTTATTGTTATGTGCCATGAGTCAGTTCTGACTCATAGAGCCCCTATATAGAGTTTCTAAGAAGTGGCTGGTGAATGTGAAATGCCAACCTTGTTGTTAGCAGTCCAGTGCTGATTCTACACCACAACAGTTGTTGTTGTTGTTGTTAAGTGACTTGAGTCAGTTCCAACTCATGGCAACCCTGTATAGGGTTTCCAAGGAGCAGCTGGTGGGTTTAAACTGCCAACCTGTGGTTTACTGTTCAGCGCTGATCCTACAGCACTACACCAGGAATCCATAAACCATAATCATGGCAGTGCACCATTTCTTCAAGATGGATTCCATTTCAAAAGATTCAAGTTGTTGTTGTTAGTTGCTGATGAGTCGGTTTTGACTTACAACAACCTTATGCACAGCAGAACGAAACACTGCCTGGTCCTGCGCCATCCTCAAAATCATTGTTCCGTTAGAGTCCATTGCTGCTGACACTGTGCCAGTCCATCTTGTTGGGAGTCTTCCTATTTTTTGCTGACTCTCCACTTTACCAAGCATGATGTCTTTCTCCAGGGACTGATCCCTCCTGATAATATGTCCAAAGTATGAGAGATGAAATCTTGCCATTCTGGCTTCTAAGGAGCATTTAGCTGTAGTCCTTCCAACACAGATTTGTTCATTTTTCTGGCAGTCTGTGGTACTTTAAATATTCCTGGTGTGGCACAGTAAGATAAGCAGTGGACTGCTAACTACAAGGTCGGCAGTTCAGGTCCAACAACCGCTCTTTGGAAACCCTATACAGGATCGCTGTGAATCGGAACCAACTCTTTGGTGCTTAACAACAAAAACAAAGAAAGTAAGAGAGTTGTTACAACCCTGTATAGGGTTTCCAATGAGCAGCTGCTGAGTTTGAACCACTCAGACCTCACAGTTCGAACCAACCTTGCATTCCAGTGCATTGCTCTGCAGCACCACACCAGGACTCACAGTGAAAAATTCCAGGAAGAGCAAACAGCCAGTACCAAGGCCCTGAGGCAAGAATCCTAATGTAGTATAAGATTGTCAAGGCATTGTTTTGTTCTGTTGTACATAGGGTCGCTATGGGTTGGAACCAACTCAATGACACCTAACAAAAACAATATGACCTTGATGCTCTGGTGGTGCAGTGGTTAAGCACTTGGCTGCTAACCAAAATGTCAGTCATTTGAACCTATCATCTGCTCCACAGGAGAAAGATGTGGCTGTCTGTTTCCATAAAGATTAAAAGCTTGGAAACCCTAGGGAACCATTCTATTCTGTCCTACAGGATCACTGAGTCGGAACTAGCTCATCAGTCAATGTGGATGTTTTAAAACTGTGAAAAAATAAACTTCTGTTGGTTAAAGCTACCCCCATGTACAGAGGTGTAGCTAAAGTATGGTAGGTCTGGCACGTGCCCTACGTACCACTTGAAGGGGCACCACTGAGCAGTTTCTGTTGACCATTACCGTTTCCATTGCTAGCTGTGAGAGACAGTCAGCAAGTTAACACTAATACACACTTACATACTTAGTGCCTTCATGGGTCAAGTGAAGGAGCACTGGTGGCACTGTGGTTTCGGCACTGGACTGGTAACCTTCCAGTCAGTAGTTGAAATCCAGCAGCCACTCTGCAGGAGAAAGATGAGGTTGTCTGTTCCCGTAATAATGTTCAGTCTCATAGAATTGCTATGAGTCTGAATTGATGTGATGACAGGGGATTAGGGTTTTTTGGTGTGGGTCAAGGCAGACTGTGTGACTTTGCTCTGTTGAGCATCAAAATAAATGAAATTTGAAAAAAAAAAAAAAAAACTGAACACATCGCAAACCAATTTTTATTGGTGAAAGCAAGGAAGGTACAGTTGTAATTTCCATGTAGTTCCATCAAGTTTGACTTATATTTCTGAGGGGGTATTATGGTCAAGTTATCTAAGAAATGGGTGTCAGATGTTTGAACAGGAGCATAATTTTGGTGCTTGCCATAGGCACTATTTTCTACAGGTATACCTTTGTCGCTATTGTTAGGTATCATCAAGTTGGCTCTGACTCATAGTGACCTTATGCACAACAGAATGAAACAATGGTCCTGTGCCGTCCTCACAATTTACATTAGAGCTCTCCTGTCCTCAGTTGTTGTTTTTTAAATGCTGGTTTCTATTCTGTGGTCATTTCTCATCACTAATTATTTTTGTAAGGAAGAGGTTTTCTGGTTTTGTTTTTTAATTTTCCTTTCCCTCAAAAACAGAAGGGAGAATCTTTGGGTGCATCACCACTGGATATTCTGCTATAATTAATATCTGGGTACGGTACTGAGTTCAATCCAGAAATGGCATTGTTCTCGACTAACAAACTGACTGAAACCACCAAGAAAACAAATAAAGACATGCTGAATTTCTTTCGTTTTCCTTTTTAATTAGCATTAAGTCATAATGTTGCATTATACAAACAAATATCTAAAGGCTCTTTTCAGTTGACATATCAAAACAATTTGCACCGCAACAATTTATACTTAAAACTCTTAAACACCAAACCCTAACTATTGCATGTGGGTTTCCGAATGAGCATAATGCGTATTTTGTTGTTGTTCTTTTTAATTTAAAAATCTTTTTATTGGTTAAAGTAATGAAAATATTGAAATAGATATAATCTGAAATCACAGTGGCTTAACACAATTGTTATTACATGCCATCAAGTCAGTTTCGACTCATAGTGACCCTGTGTAGGGTTTCCAAGGAGCAGCTGGTGGGTTTGAACCATGTGTTTCACAGTCCAGTGCTATCCTACAGTGCCACACCAGGATGACTTAAAATTGGGGAAGTGAAATAGAAAAAGAGTAAGCCAGTATAATAATGTTTTCTTGAGTCGATGCTTCCTGTATGAAACAGGTGTTTGATCCCTTCAGGACTTTCTGAAGAGGAGTATCAAATGTCTCATAATTCTCACTTGGGACTGTTGTTGCTAAGTGGCACCGAGTGGGTTCCAATTCACAACAACCCTGTATAGAGTTTCCAAGGGGCGACTGGTGGGTTTGAACCACCAACCCTATGGTTAACAGAACAGTGCTTATCCACTGCATACAATATGGTGTTTGGTGAGGTTCATGCTAATTCACAATATTTAACTTGTGTTTGGAGAGGTTCATGCTAATTCACAATATTTAAAACACACCCCTTCAATAAATTTTAATTGGAAGAGAGGAGGGAGAAAAGCTGGACTTTATTTTCATGACAATTAAATATTCACTACCAAACGCCTGTATTTCCATCCTATTCCCTTTCTATGGTTCCGAGTTCTTGATGCGTACTAAAACAAGTCAGCCAGAATTGAGTTATAAACATGATTTATTGTAATGAAAAATGGTAAACAGAACTACAAAGCTATGAAAAGGAAACAAAAACCAAAGATTCCCCAGCAATAAATTGTAGAGTCAGAACTGTAATGTCAAGCAATCATCAGGAAAGGAAACTCCTTGTTGAATGTGCAAAATAGGAGTACCCTCCCCCTGTTGTTATCTATAGCAGATATTCAGGGGAAAGAACTCCACAGACTCAGATCACAACTGAATGACCAAGTCAAAGCATGATCAAGTGCTACTCCCAATCAATTCAACTCTAGCTAAACCAGACTTCTCATGTCTTCTCTCAGTCCCATTGAAATAATAAGAATATTGTGAAGAATTGTAAGCAATGGATTGGTCATACCAATCGAGGAGATTAGTATTTCCTCCCCGTTGGAAAGGCTGGTGATGTATGCACGGATTAATCCGTACTGGGAGTACTATTTTCCTGCATTGTCTTCATTATCCAGTCCAGGTAGTTGTTCACCTTTGTGTAGAACCCATAAATCCCACACTGCGGAGGACCCCAGGACACCAGGCCAGCTACATAGAACCTGGGGTTCTCTACATTGGGATCCTGTATAACAAAGGCCCCACCACTGTCCCCTGCACAGCTATCGACTCCCTTCTCGCCTCCAGCACAGATCATGTTTTTAGTGATAACAAAGGTCCTCAGATCCCTGTTGGAATCTTTCTGTTTTAACTTGTTGCAATTTTCTAAGGAAGCTACGGGTAGCCATGCCCCTCGGAGACGGATAACATGATCTCTTTTCTCTGTTTGGCCCCAGCCTGAGATCAGTCCCAGGTCTCCTACTGAGGTGCTGTATTCTGGGGTAGTGCCTGGCAGACAGATGGTGGAGACAGTGGGTCCCATTTTCACTGGGTCTTTCAACTTCACTAGCGCAATGTCATGGTCGAAATTCTTACGTGTTTCTGGAGCATCCAGGACTTCCCAACCAGGATGAATAATCACACGTTCAGCAGTGAGCATCTGAGCATTTTCCAGAAGTGAGGTTTGCACTGATGTGGAGCCAACATACATTTTTGGGCTCGGGTTTCCCTCCACAACATGGGCCGCTGTCAGCACCCAGTATTCATCAATGAGAGCCCCACCAGCCCATGGACTCGGAAAGAAAACTTGCCAGGGGAAATTCTGAATATCTGCAGGGGATCCTCCAAATATTCGCTGTTTTCCTTTAAAGGTCTCACTGGGGACTCCGCAGACTAGAAAGGAACAAGCACAAGGTAGGAAAAGAGCAAAAAAGAGATGCTGGCCTCCTGCAAGTCTTCAAATCACTCAAATACTTTTTTACCTGCCAGAGGGACAGAGTTCATTTGCAGGTAGAGAGCCAACCCTACACAGGATATTTGGACTCCTGGTGTGGCACTGTAGGATCAGCACTAGACTGCAAACCACAGGTCCGCAGTTCAAACACACCAGCTGTTCCTCGGAAACCCTATATAGGGTTGCTATGAGTCAAAACCGACTCTGTAGCACTTAACAATAACACAGGATATAGCCAACACCCATCTCAGTACCTGACTCATGTTGGCTATAAGTAAGAACCAAAGATCCCACTTCAGCCAATGGTACGAACAGTCTCATGGGAGGGGCTAGTGAAACCAAGGCTGCGTGTGAATAACAGCATCCAAATATGTTCGTATCTGACACTGTTGAGAGCTAGGACTCAGGCCCCCTAGAGGCACAGATCATGCTCAGGCTCGGCATGTGAGCCACACCACATGGGCGTCAGGGCTCAAAAGACAGTCCCTGACAGCCGTTTCCTCACACAGGTAAGTGTTCTACCTTCTTTTGATGCCCACATTTAAGGTCTCATCACTTTCTTTGCTTAGTCCAGTATACAGCTGAGTCCCTCCTCCTAATCCACAGATGAGCACTGCAGAGCAGAGTAAGAATGAGGGCTTCTTCTTTCCCCTTGACCCCTACTCTCCCCCCATTGTCTGCATCCAGGAATAAACCCTTTGCCATTAACAATTATGACTGAAATGGAGTTTTATTTCATATGAAGTTGGCTTACCTAAATCCCTCACTAGTCAACCTAAATGGACTCTGCATTAACATATTGGCCTTGGATTCAGACAGACCTGGATTCAAAGTCTGATCTTGTTACTTACTAACTGAATACTTGCTCTAATTTATTCAGCTCTAAATTAGAAATAATAATACTTACCTCACAAGGTTACGGTGAGGACTTGAGGTAAATAATAAGCGCACAACAAATTGACCCAATCCCTGGCTCTCAACAGCATTTTTACTACTACTTTTTGTTACTTTTCACTTTTGTTACCTCTTCTCAGAAAAATCTAAACTAATTAAGTGGTTGCTAGAAATGCCATAGCTTCTAATAATCCTTCATTACTTGGAGTGCAGACAATTTGGGGGTGGTTTAGTAATGTTTAATGGCTTGGAAGTGCCTTCTGTTCAATACTGATCTGCCTGCAACCTCTCATTTCTTTATTCTTCTGTATCTTGTTGCCATGTAGATTTTACAGTAATAACTAGGCTATTCAACTACTTTTGTTTCCGAGTGTTGACTCTTCTCTCTGAGCTTTAATACCCTGATTTTAATAATAATCTGCATCCCCTTACAACATCTTCTTCACCAGACCCACTGGCCCTGACTCTTGACACCAACTATCATTGATTTACTTTTCTACTTCCTTTCAGTTAGCCTGACTCTGTGTAATTGAGGGAATTCGCCAAGACCCCAGAAAGTCCACATTCCAGTGTTGTCCCCACTTCATTGAGCTGTACTCTGATAGGCAGAAACTGCTCACTCCTTTCCCAAGAAGATGGCAACTACTTTCAGAAGGTGATTATCCAGCTCACCTGTACCTGGGCCATAGTCTCTACCCAACCCTGAGCCCGGATTACCTGGAACACATTTCGGCAGCTCTGTGCCCAGCACCTCATTCACCCAGCTTCCATTACTAGCACAACGATATTCCCCTGGAATAACACAAGAGATACAGGACACCTTCACTACCGCCATCTTCTCTCTTCCAGTCCCTGCTTTCTTTCAGAGTCTCAGCAACTCTGTGATTGCAGGAGGTATCAACAAATCAGCTAGAATATAATATTAAGAATATCTCTAAGCAAACCCCTTTCTAAGGCTGAAACTCAAATGGAACACATGAGCAGTCTTGTATGCTCACTGGGGACAACCTGGGTCTACTTGTGAGTGGAAGTGGGTGAAATACAGCAATGAAGACAAGAGCTGAGTTTGGCCATGTTCCACAAACACCTGTTAACCTTGAGATGAGAGAGAGAAGAGGAAGGGCTAGCTGGTCTTAAGTTTAGGGAGATGTGTGAATTCCCGAGCCCTTGGACAATGGGGGCTAGAATTGAGAGTGAAGTGGCCAGCTGGCCTGAAGTGGGAGGTGGCATGCAAGAACTCCCAAACTTGCAGATAGTACCCATTTGACCTAGCTTGGATGGCTTGCTGACCAGAACTCAACCAGGTGAAGATAAAGAAGTTTGATACAAGGAGCAAGCATAAGTTGCTACAGTTTGATGAAGTGGACCTTTGTCTATGTAGGTAGTCATTCAAAATTCCCACCAAAAGGGAAGAATTCTTCATGTCAAGGATCAAGCTTGCCTCCTCAGTACACTGGGTTGATAGGGATGGACATCTTAGACATTGGCTATCAAAAATGGGGGCTATACAGGCACAAAATGACTGGCTTACAAGCTTTCATGAGTGTGGTTAGTTTCAGAACAAGGCAGGTAAGGTAGAATCCTCACTGAATAGTTTCCCAGTTGTTGTCCAGACGGGTCTGGTGAAAGGGAGTGGGGGAGGATGGAGGTAGGATCTTATGATTCACTTGTAATTGTTAATAGCACTAATTGCAATTGTAAATGTAGAAGATATGTAACTAAAAGTGGGGAGTAATTAATCTTTCATTTCAGGAACAGAGGACCCTAGGACCATCAAGAGGGAAGAGAATGAGTGCAGCCTGAGATCCTAGCAACAGCAGAGACAGTGACAGAGGCGACGACATAGAGAGACAGAGCAGCTGCAGACTCTAGACCCTTGGACTGAGAAAGACGATGTGCCTGCGGGCAAGAGACTGGCTTGCCTTTTTATCTTCTGACATCATTTGCTTTTCAGAAGATCCTAAAATATAACTCTCAGTGGCCTTGGCACTGAGACAAACTAAGTCTCTCTTGAAATCAAGGTCTTTGGGTGTGCATATCTAAATGTAGCCAAGTAGGAGGGAGCTTCTGTGCAGTACAGAGTCTCAAGAATGCAACCATCTTCATTTTTACGTGAAAATAGTTTCTGTTTCTAGTCTGTAGAAACATTACAGGAAATACAGCGAGCAGGCTGTAGTCAGAGTCCTCTTGTGTCAACACCCAGCTCAGTGAGTCACCCAGTGGCTGCCAGTATTCAAAACACAGGAACCCCAGCAACCTCCTTGGGCTGTGGCTTCTCCAACATGGCCTCAGACAGATTCCAGCCCTTGGAACTCCACATGCTAGTCCACTCCTGCAGCTGGCAGCTCAAGCCTTCAGAGATCCGCTTGCTCAACAGTGGAGAGTCACTTAACTTACCCTTGTCACATGCCCAGCTACTAGAAGAGCATCTTTTGCAACAATACAGTGACTAGCCACCAGCCATTAACTATTTCCTACATTAG